CAGACTATCTTAATATATCAATGTGCTACAACATGTGTAATACGAAGGTTGTACTTCCCCTGTGAAGATTTCAAATTGCTTTGCAAATATGAATTTATTGCATCTTAGAAAGCTTTTGTGAGGTGGAAAGTAATAGCTTACATCTTCCTGGCTGAGACTCATTCAGATGGCCTGAACTGACATCATTTACCAAAGAGAAGACAATGAATGTATTATCAAGACAGGAACTAGATATTTTGGTGACCATGCTGATACTTCAGCTTACAGAAAGTACTCCTGAAACTGGAGGTGTTTACAAATCTGTTGAAGTGATAAGATTTCTTTTCAGTGGTTCTGTCCGATTTATATTAGAGCCTGCAGCGTGAGTAGTCTTGTGACTCCTCACATTTCCTGTCAAGGAATCCTTAAAAGCTCATGTCAGCCACAGGCTTTTAAAGGCTGTGCACTGGGGACTGAATTCCCATGAAGGACACCAAAATGATGTGATGACATCAGGAAAACTGTGATTACAGAAGAACTGTATTTTCCTTTAGTCTGTGAACTGCATTCTCTGTCAAGTACAACAGAAAGAGAGTAATAACTGCCCCTTTCAACTACTGCAAAGACATTCCTAACTCTCCCCTTTCATGGAATATCTAGTAAAAAAAGAAAAGATTAAGTTCTCCTGCAGTAGATTATCTTCTTTGCTGTGGGGTTTTCCCTGTTAGCCGTTGAATGTGAAACCTTGATTTTGGTAATTTTCATAATGCCTGGGACAAAACCAATGTACCTGAAATACAATTCTTCTACTTATTCTGCTGAAATTCCACCATAATCATCTAATCTGAAACTTCCCAAAGAAATTGATAATCCGCTCTAATTCTTATAGCATCCCTTGCAGTCGCACTGAACTTCTTTTTTGAATGCATCACTTTTTTTTCCTAGCTTCAAATTTTACAACTTAGAGGTAGATCCTTATCTGTGACTGCATTTAAAGAAACCTTACAAAGGGAAACCACTGTTACTCAACAACAGCTAGCTCTGTCAGTTTTAGAAACATAAGCATTTATTTTCACAAGATTTCAAATAGCACTAAATGTAGCACTGTGGGGTATTTACAACACCCAGCTTTCAACACTTAAGAGGCCCTCAACTGTCCAGCTGTGTTAAGAGAGAGATTTGATCAGGAGTGCTTTAGGGAAGGGCTTACTGCAGTACCACTAATCATTTTTGGCAAGAGCCTCTCTTCAGTTTACTATGCAAGAAGCCTGGGTAGTCTAGGTACTTTAGTACTAGATAGCTCCTGTTGTGTCTCTTCTGCTCCTCTCCAGACTACATAACTATCTTACTATCAAAACTACAAAATTACTAATTACTTACCTTACAGTTACTATTTTTAATGATCTTGAACAATTAAAAGATAAGAATTCCTTTGCAGTCATTCAGTGTGTACTGGTTTTGGCTGGGATAGGGTTAAATTTCTTCATAGTAGCTGGTCTGGAGCTGTTTTGGATTTGTGATGAAAACAGTGTTGTTAACACAGGGATGTTTTCGTTATTGCTGAA